AAGGTGGGCGCCTCCAGGCACAGGTTCTGGGCATCGGCCTGAGCGGCGGCCGTAAGCCGTGCGCCTTGGTAGGTATAGAGGACGCTTTGGAGGGGGAAGGAGACGAGGACGTGGCCCGAGGTGGGGGAGGAGGGACAGGAGGAGGGGAGGACCCAGAGGCCGTGGCAGGGCCCGGGCAGGACCGCCCGACCTAAGGTGTCTGCAACCAGGCCTCGGCGCATCACGACAAGAGACCCTTTCTTCCCTTGGCCGCCGCAACACATGATCTCCATCCCGGGTGCCCCGCCCCCCCCCAGCGTCTTGGTCTGGGCGGGTTTGACGACGGCGGGTCGTCCCTCTCCCCCGTCCTCCTCCAGCATGGCCGGGAGGGCCAGGGACGAGGAGCCCGCTTCGTTGGCGCCCGCCACCCGCTCGGGCCCCAGAAGCTGGCTCTCCGTGTAGACGGAGCCGGGCACGCGGGTGGCGAGGGTGGAAGCCAGCAGCGGGCCCAGGGAGGGCCATGCGTCCAGGATGGAGAGACGAACGCGGGAGCCCAACAAAACCTGGACCTCGTCCTCGGGCCCTGCCTCCCTCCTCCCCGCCCTGCCCCCCGCCCTCCCCTCCACCAGCGCGTCCTCTACCCCCAAGGCCTGACCGTACAAGAATTCCTCCTCCTCTTCCTCCTCTTTTTCCTCCTCTTCTTCCTCCTCTTCTTCCTTCTCCTCTTTCTCTTCTTCCCCCTCGTCTTCTTCCCCCTCCTTGGTCGTCCCCCTCCCATGCCCATTCAGGCCTAGGCTCCCTCCTCGCCCTGCCCCTTCCTGCCCCCAACCCTCCACTCCCTCCTCCCGCACCACCTCCATCTCCTCCACCTCCTCCTCGACCCCCGGCTCCGCTTTGATCAACACTCCTCACACGCCCTCCCCTCCCTCCCTCCCTCCCCTCCCTCCCCTCCTCCTCTTCCTCGGCGCCCTTTTCCTCCTCCCCGTCCCCTTCCCCAACGTCAGCTCCCCCAGCTCAAAACGGAGCAGCAAGGAATCCACGGTTCTCGAAGCCAAAAAGACCAAGCCCTCCCTCCCTCCCTCCCTCCCCATCATCACCCCGATCTGACTGGGAAACACGCCGCTCCCGCCCCCCCCCCCAGTTTTTGCACTCGCACTGCCGTCGCCTTTCCTCCCCGAGTCTCAATCCGCAGCCCCAGTAATTCCCCCGTCCCCGCCGCCAGGAGGCCCACCTGCGAATCCAGAAACGCCACACGAGCCCCGTCCAACGCGACCGGGGCCGCCAAGCCGGTCTCCTCGGCCTTTTGTAACGGCTGGCGGGCCGTTGCCACCGTGGTGGCCGCGTACCCGTTCGTGGCCGCCACCACCCGCACCCGGCCATCCTGGATCACGTGCAAGGCGTTGGTGCTGAGGACGAGCAAGGAGGACCACAGGGGGTCCCGGGGAGGGCTCAAGACCCGGAAGCTGTCGTGCGGGAGGAGGGGCACGTGGTAGAGGGGCGTGGCCTTCCCCCCGGGGCGCAGGAGACGACCGAGACATGGCCGCAGTGGGCGCGGGCGGCCACCGTGCCACCCCACCCGGGGGGCAGGGAGTGCAGGATTGCGACGGTGGGCTGCATGTACCCCCCCAAGAAGCAGAGATCCTTGATCACCCCGCGCACCCCGAGCTGGTGCCGGAGCTGGAGGATGTAGGGCTTGGCGGTGGCCGCGGCGGCGGAGGCGCCCATTCCCGGGTCGAAATCGAAGGCTGCCGACGCGTCCGCCGATAGGGCTTCCTCCTCGTCCTCCTCCTCCTCGTCCTCCTCGTCCTCCTCCTCCTCGTCCTCCTCCTCCTCGTCCTCCTTCTCAGTTTCCGCTTCCTCCCCGTCCCCCCTCTCCTGTCCATTTCTTGGCCCCTCCTTACCCCCGCTACCCTTCCCAACTCTGCCCACTCGCACCTTCTCCGCCTCGTCAGATCCTCGCTCAGGGCCCTTTTCTTTCTCCTTTCCGCCCGCCACGTCTCCCTCCTCCCCCACCCCGTTACCCAAATCCAGATGCCCCTCCCCTTCGCCCGCCACCGGCACTAACGCCCTGCCCCCTGCCCCGTCCCTGTCGTTTTTACCCCCCGCCTCCCGTTTTCGCTTCCGTTCCCCTCGGCCTTGGTGCATCGAGACCGACATGAGCGTGCTGACAAGGGTCTCCCGGGGCGGCAGACGCACCGGGAGGAGATGCTGGCGTTTGCCCGCCATGTCCGCTCGAGTCCCCAGGAGGATACGCAACACCAGCCGTGCCAGGTGTTCCCGGTGGAAAGGGATGATGGCCAGTTGAGTACCGTACACGAGCATCCCCGCGCATCGCATGGAAGGGTCTAGCACCGTGGGTGCCGAGTCATTAATGCCCTCTAAACGATCGACGGGCGGTGGCTCCGCCCGCACCGCAGATCCAAGGCCCAAGGCGTCGTGCTCGAAATTGAAGAGGTCTAGTACAACGATTTCTTTGGCTTCGCTTTCATAGGCGACCAAAACGACTTTGGCGGGGCGAGTGGTAATCACCAAGACATCGGGGAGGTCGGGTCGTATGGGGAGGGGAAGGACGTTCAAGGCTTCGATGCGCGCGGCGATGGTGAAGGAGGCGGAAAGCTCCGAAACAATTTCACCGTTGGAAAGTGTGTGCAAAGTGTATATTTCCAAAAGATTGGCGTGGGCAGTGATCAAATTTTGGTCTTTGGGGTGGGTGAAGTGGGCGAAGCAGCAATGCTCGACTCCAGTGGGGGGGTGAAGAGGTTTGTAGCACAAGAAAATTCGTCCCATGTGGACGAAGGGCCGGCTGTGGCTGCAATTTCTGCGTGTATATGAAATAACGGAGGAAGAACGTGGATATGTGACCGCGTGCCACATTTTACGTGCACCATAGGAGACGGGCATCGACGACATGCGTCGACCAGAGCCGCCAGGCCCCGTGATATCATCGGGTCGCGGAAAAAGTGGCCCATATCCCCTCCCGCATTGAGACTGTGCGGACGATGCAGCCAAGCTCGCATTCCTCACCGACTTACATCCGCACAGTTACTTTTGGATAGACGCAAAAGCAAGTGTATGGAGCACAAGGCTGGTAAAGCTGGTGCGTGCACTGCCTCGCGACGTTTTGCAACCCCCATTGTCGGGCATGGCCACAGCAAGGATCACCGGCACGATGCTGGGAACGAGAAGCTAGCAAAGGCGAATTTTTACTACATAACAAGGCGGTTGATAAATCGGAAGCAGTTGCAACGACTATTCTATGCATTCGTCCTCTCACTGACGGTGCTGGGCACGGTCCTTATCGTAGTGCCTCAAGGACTCGGTGCGCTGTCCCCTTCAGAGTCGGACCCCTCGTTACCTTACATTCTTGCAGGCAATGGCCCACGCGCGACGGATCTCGCCATTGGTATCATAAGCGGGCCCAATCCAGTCCAAAGGCGGCGTGTTCGCTTATTGCAGGAAACGTGGTTCACTTCTTTGGACTCTCACAGGGACGGTGTCCTCGTCTTCAGCAACGGCACCGATGCCGACGTGCCAGCCGTTGGGATCGAAGGCACAGGTCATACGTGGAGGGGAGCACAAAACCGGTGGCTACCTGCTCTCTCGTACCTGTTGATGGCATTTCCATCCGCAAAGTGGTACATGCTGGTAGACGACGACACGTTTTTGATTCCGAAAAATCTGAAAGAGATGCTGCGCAGGAGAATTGGCGGGGAGCCGGATAGGACGGAGAATGAGAGGGAGGGAGAGGAAGCGAATGCCACAGAGAGCAAAAGCGAAGTACAGAGTGGGGAGGGCAAGCAAAAGCGGGTGTATTTGGGACACACGATGTTTGTGAAGCCGCATTCGGGCGAGCTGCAGGGACGCGTGCTTCCCTTCGCCCATGGAGGTTCAGGCGTCGTCCTCTCGGCGACCCTCCTCCGAGACTTGGTACCACTCCTGACGGAAATATCCGCAGGAAAGAGGGAGCGGTGCCAAAACACTGGGTACTGGGATGGGGACCTTAGCCTGTGCTTAACTATTTTGTTGGGGGTGAAGGTGCTGCACGAAACCTGCTTGCATTCGTCGGGCCCCATGGTCTACCAAGAGAAATTAAATTCGCCGGACGGGCAGTCGGGCCAGCGAATGGGGTGGCTCGGGGATAAGGGTAAGCCCTGCTCCTTCCACTACGCCTTCAAGCTGGACGTGCCCCGGGAAAAGTCGGCGAAGGGGGGGAGGGAGGAGAACGACGCGGCCGATGATTCTCAGGTCAGGGAGTGGCACCAGAAGTACAATTTGGGGGCCGCTGACGTTTGATAAAAAGACAGAATACCGCATGGGATGCTGCGGCGTACACATTGTGAATTATGCTTGTTTAAAAGAATAGACAGGTGCCCTAGTTCAACCGGGCAAGTCGCGCCTCCCGCGGATCCGTCTCAACAAGCCATAAATCTCCCACCTTTTCTTTCCGCTTCCTGCCTATGCGTCCCTTTGTGCACCATAACGATCAGGCAATGTTTCCTCCTTGCCCTTTCCCACCCCCTACATTTTCTCTTCAGTCACCCGTCTCCTCACAATCAGCCTGACAGGCATCTGCGCCTTCCTGTCTCCGTCGCTCCTCCCCCCCAAAGGTCCTCTCTCACCTCGACCCCTCCTCATTTCTCCCGATCCCCACGCCTAGGCCGCCTCCGCCACCTCCCCATCCTCTCCCTCTTTCCTCTTGCCCTCCTCGCCTTTCATATATTCCTCCAGCCCGAGTCCGAAACCTACCCCCTGAGAGCCCACCGCCGCCGTCTCCGGCGCCGACTCCTGTCTCCCCTCCTGGGAGCTCCCCTCCCCTCCTTTCCGCACGGCGCCCCCGAAACCTTTCTTCTTCTGGCCTCTCTTGTCCGCCTTCCCTCCCCAATCTTTCTTCCCCTCCCCCTTGCCCTTACTATCTCGGTTTAACGCCTTGATCGCCCCGATGGTCGGGTTCTCCCCCCCCTCCTCCGCCGGCACCTCGTTGATATCCGTCATGCTCCCCTTGGCTTTCATGGTCTCCCACAAATTCTTCATCTTGTTCCGCTTCTCCTCCCACATCTTTGCTTTTGGAGGCCGCAGATCCAACTCCTCAATGATCCGGTGTGCCACCCGCTTCAAGCATTTGACCGCGTCGTCCTCCCCCCGCAGGACGACCCGGACGTCCGCCAGGGCATAGTTGCCTTTCCGCTCTTCGTACAAGGAACGGACGGCCTGGACCGGGTCCGAGGCCGCCTTCAGCAACGGCCGCTTCTCGATCTCTCCCGAGGACTGCATGCGCGCCACGATCCCCTCGGGCGGCAGATCGAGCCAGACGATGAGGCCGCTGTGCAAAAAGGGCAGGTTCTCCTTCCGCTGCATGATCCCTCCCCCGGTGCTCACCACTGTCTGGACGTACGTCTGTAAGGCGCCCATGCCCAACGTCTCCTGCTTGCGCCATACCTCCTCCCCGTCCTCCTCGAAGACCTTCGTCGCGGCTTTCCCCAACTTTTGCTCAATGAATTGGTCCAAGTCCATCCACCGGTATTGCAGCCCCTCGGCCAGCATGCGGCCCAACGTCGTCTTGCCCGAGCCAGGCATGCCCACCAGATAGACATTGACACCTTGAATGCGCATTTTGATTTCCATGAGCTCTGGCAAGAAATCTGCGCCTTCCTTCCAAGGAGCCCCTCTCCCATCCAAAAATTGGGGACGGATATTCCGGTGCGGGTCTTGCTCGGAGCCAAACTTTCCAAAATTGCTGTTGCCCAGGTCCGTTAATCCCCAAATCGCCGCGCTTTCTTCTGCCGTGTTTTCGTTATTGCCTTCCTCTTCGGGGGAGGAGGAAGACGCAGCCAGACTCTGGGTCTGTGGGCGGACGAAGCGGCTAGGGTCGAAGGAGAGGGAAGAGGACAGTGACGCTGGGTAAAAGGGGAGGAGTCGAGATGAAGTGGAAGGCAGATTACGGGAGGAACATGGAGAAGCTCTTTGAGGGAGGCGAATGTTGCGAGAAGGTGCTGAGGAGAGGATGGAGGACGGAAAGAGGAGGAAACCTTGGGTGCCACTTGAGAGGAAGGAGAGGAGGAGAATGACAAGGGGAAAAAGGACTTGTATTCTTCGAGGATGGTGGAACTGATGTAGTTGATCCATCACGGCAGTCGACGTCCTCAGTCGGAGCAGGAGAGTGCTATCAGGAAATTGCTGGGATATAGACGGGGCTGTGAAGGGGAGGAGGTTGCCAACTCGAAGACCTCGAGCCTGCGGGTGGACAAACGGGAGCAAAGGAAGAAAACGGGACGGGTGAGATAAATTACAACCGTCCACAACCCATCCTCCTTCACGCATGTCCACGTGCGACCAGAACCTACCCTTCAACTCTTGGTTCGGGCCAAGGTGGGTACGTAGTTGACCTCAAGGGGGGGCTCGAGGCCTCATCCTCCCGGGCCGGGGTCGACCCCGCGAGAACCACACATCGCCCCCATCGCCTGTGACCGGCGCGCGGTGGACGGAGGCAGAAGGTCAGACGTGTGGGATGCGTCGTAGGACCGAGTGGCCTGGGTTTAAAGGCTCGTGACTGGTTGTAGCTTGGTGGCTGTCGGCCGTTTGGGTGTAAATTTGTGTTCGAAGTTGTGCTGAGAAACTCACTTCCTACTCCAAGGGTAGAGCAGATCAAGGCGAGCGAAACTCTCCATCATCTCATCTGGCTTGTGCACTCTCTCTTTTCTATTTACATCGCAGGAGTATCTGTCGAGCCTACCATCATGACTCAAATCGACGTACCCAAGGCGCTGCAGCCGACGTAAGTGGTGGTAAAATTGACACTCTCCTTGTCTGTCCAGCAGCCTCCTCTCCGCCTCCCTCACTAGCCGTGTAACAAGCAGACCCAACCCGGGTGCTTTTGACGCACGGAAAGGCGATCACAGTGTCACACGTTATTTCATAGTGCCTTCTTACTTCCCGATTTTGTGCCACCTCCACGGGGCTCACCACGCTAACTCTGATCTCCAATCCCTCCTCCCCCCCCGTCCGCTCTTCTTTCCCCCCTCCTCAGCGACCAAGACATCCACAAGCTTGTGTTCGCGTCCGTGCACATCGGGACCAAGAACTCGGACAAGCTCATGGAGCCTTACATCTGGCGCCGTCGCAGCGACAACACGTACGTCCTGAACTTGGGCAAGACATGGGAGAAGCTCATTTTGGCTGCCAGGGTCATCGTAGCCGTCGAGAACCCGAAGGACGTCATCGCCATCTCCGCCCGCCCTTACGGCCAACGAGCCGTCCTGAAATTTGCCCAGTACACAGGCGCTCAATCGATTGCCGGTCGTTTCACCCCCGGTACCTTCACGAATCAGATCACCAAGCAATTCCGGGAGCCTCGCCTGCTGCTGGTCACAGATCCTCGCACGGACTCCCAGGCTGTGCATGAGGCATCCTACGTGAACGTGCCTGTCATTGCATTCGCCGACTCGGACTCGCCTTTGCAATTTGTGGACATCGCCATCCCCGCCAACAACAAGGGACGGCTCTCCATCGGTTTGCTGTACTGGCTCCTGGCGCGGGAGGTCCTGCGGCTCCGCGGGACCATCAGCCGCGTGGACGAGTGGGACGTGCCTGTCGATCTCTTCTTCTACCGCGAGCCCGACGAGATCGAGAAGGACGAGGAGAAGCCGGCCACCTTCGCCGCGGAGGCGGAAATTGCGGAACCTGCACCCATCGCCCCTGGAATCGAGGACTTTGGGGCGGGAGGCATGGCCGGCGTGGTCCCTGCGTACGGGGAGCCGGTCTCGGCATCTTGGGATGGAGCGGGGGCGGCGCCTGTGGACCCGGCGGGCGCGTCGTGGGACCAGCCTGCGGACACGGCGGGATGGACAAACTAGACTGGGGGAGGAGAAGGGAAGGAGGGAAGCACAGTGGTTTCAGCGGTGCGCGAGAGCTTTCTGCGGGGGAGGGAGGGTGAGGGTGAGGGTGGGGTGATTTCGATGGTCGAGGGGTCAGCAGAGAAGGAGCCGTCCGGTGGGAGGAGAGGAATGGCGGGCGGGGGCGTGGAGAGAGTTCTTCCTCAGCGGACGCGCCGACATCGACGGAGAGACCCCATTAAGAAACCCTGGCAGTTACTATCATGTCTGCAGTTGTTCGATTCCCCTCTACTGCTTTCGATTGTCGTTATCCCTGCGTGGGCAGTTATTTTTTTTTAAAGATCTCGCATCTTTTCGTACTTTCCCAACGTGCTACCATCCTGGTGTTGACCATGGCTAGGAAGGGGCTTCGCGCTTCGAGGCGACAAAGATAGTCAAGGAAGACAGACCGCGTTGTCGAAGACTTTCCTCGTTCCCAGCTCGCGCATCTGTTATGGTGCCGCCAGACCATAAGGTGGGTAAGAAATTTCTTCCTAATGCCGACGCCCTTTCAAGTGGAGACAAGCACGCCTGTAAGGCCAAACAAAACGAGCACCGACGTCCCGGTCGTGGTCTATATCTCAAGACTGACTTAGAGCTTATTCTTTTTTGGTGTTCGCATTACTATGCATGGTCCGCCCGACGAATCTCCGTTGCGTTCGAGTCCGTTCTCTTTCTCCTCCCGCTTGTCTTCCACTCACCCCCTCTTCATTTCCCTCTCCGCCATCGACCTCCCCTCTTCCCCTTCTATTGAGTCACAGGCCCCAAGCACCTTACACCCCTTTCTCATCAAATGATCACGCCCTACCCGTCTGCATTTCCTACCCCGGCGGGCTAGCAGATCGTCACCCATTCCTCGCGTGTGTCTGTCGAGCAATCCTTTATCCGTAGCTCTCTCCTTTCCCTGTTCTTCTGGATCCCTCCGCCTCGACAGCGTCCGATAAGAGTCACACGCCTTCCCTCTGTGACCTCGTTTTCTCACTCTATTATACGCGTCGTCCTCCATGCATATGCTGCAGCCAAAGATGCAGTTTCAGCTTCATACTTGCGAGTATTCCATAAAACTCATATAGCTCGGCGACTGCGTCTCTATGCCACCCTATCCCTCCCGGGCTCGATGGAGTCAACAGTATTCTGATGGGGGGGAAAAAAATCCCCTGCCAAGGCCGTCCCGTCCTCCTTGCAATGTGCTCCTCACACATAGATGTCCCTTTTGCGACCGTTGCGATGCAGTACTCCATGCATCATCATGTATGCACCAGGCTCCATATGATCGGCCTATCATGCACACTCGTACAAGCTGCGTATACGCACCAATATTCTCACCAATATTCTCCACGCCAACCTCCGGCGGACAACCAGTTCCAACCACGTATGGTGCATCCCCTTCTTTTAATCGCTCTCCTTCTTTCTCCTCTTCGTATTGCTCCCCATTCCGTCTATCTTCTGTACACCGTGAGTTACTGCCTTCACGCTTGCCGGTGCGGCGTGCCCAAGGACATCCTTATATATCCCGCTAGTTTGCATGTAAGCCTCCTCCATCGCTCTGTTCCGCTCCCGTGCCATTCCGGTCCACCCCATCACTATAGCTTCTCCAAACACTCGAATTGCACCACTGAGTTCCCTCGAATCACCACAAGCCCGATATCATTCTTATCTGGCGCCCCGTCGTCCACCGTCTCATCTAGCACAATATTCATGAACTGATCGAAGCCACGCAGCACGCCTGTCACCTGCCCAAGTGGAAGAAAAAGGCCGGTAACAGCTCGTGACCGTTAGCTTACTTCCTCAGTAACATATGTCATTTACAACTCAAAGTGCATCAGTGGCGACCAATCGAGCCCCGAATCATGGTCCACCCGAACGCATGGCCTAGGCATTCCATTCCATATTTTCTGTCGCCCCCCAAAAAGCCAGCCCTGTCCCCGTCCATTTTCTCGTACCTTGCGATTTCCATTTAACTTGAAAGCTAGCTTCTTATCCAAGTATTTTTTAAGGTCCGGGCCGCCCGTTTTGCTCATTTTCTTGCTTACGGTTCCGGAGGGTTCTCTTTAGAAGCAGATACGTCCGGTTGCTTTTGCTTCCTGCGCTAGAATGGAAGGAAGTTAAGGCACCTAATGGCAGAGAAATAAGGAGAGGAAGACGGGCAAATGAGAGGCAATGGCCAAAAGAGATGAGGATTGACAGGAGGAATCTGAAGCATGGAATCTGCCGCCTCCCATCGGAAGCCCCGACACAGGCGCTTCCAGCAACGAATCATTTCGATTTGGGATCAACACAGCATCGACTGCCTTCCCAGCCCGTATCCACACGAGGTTTAGGTCCAATGCAATGTTGGTAGGTCATGCTTGCATTTCCCGAGTCCATTCGGTTCGAGAACGCATTGCAAGGGGAGGAGGATGATCCCCATTCGGTCTTGCAGAAGCGGAGACTCGTCGCAGCCGCCCGTTCGGACTCGCTTTCCTGACACGCAATGGCGGTCATTGGGCGCGGTGCACGCCCACCACTCGTTGGAGCCACCGTAAAATATGACCAAAAAAGCATGGTAGAAAGAGACCAAACGCGATGGGACGAAATTCGCACATTCTGACATTCGTTTGTCTGCTCCAGTGTTTGACCAGAGAAATTTCACGCAGCCATGTTGCGAGTCCAATAGTACTCAGAAGTCGCTACAACCGCCCGCTCACCCGTCACCCGGGTCGTGGAAGTACACGTGGGAGACGGGCAACGTATCGCAGGGCGGAAACCTGGATATAACCATACGTTCTCATGGGACTCTCTCCTTGGCACAACTGTCTTGGAATGCAAACAGAGAGGCACATTCCATGCGCGGGGGAGAATAATACGAGATGCAAAGCGACAGATTAGGGGCAGAGACTCTGAGGAGGATCGAGAAACAGCATTTTGGCGGAAACGAGAGGGAGAGAAGGCGGGAGCGGCGGAGCGACCGCCTCCCTCATCATCACGAAGGGGGCCGTCTTTCTAACCAACATCATACAACGTGCTTTTGACCATAACTTTTGGTCGTTTCTCCTGATCACTCATGAAAACATGCAATGTGAATGATTGAAGCTCGATTTCTGTCCTGAAATGGATTGATAAGAAGACTCCTTGTCTAACAAAATCATAATGACGTGAACGGAGAAGTCCCCCTTTCTTTGAACGCAAAGCGCACACAGCACGCACAGCGCCCGAGTCATTCAATTATTTACCAATCATGTTTGTAGAGTTTGTTTGCCCTGATTTTGATTGACCGTTGGCAGACAAAAATATATTTCCATGTGTTAGGTAGTTTGACTTGGAAATGGCATGATCCCTTGCGACCATCATCATCATCTTCGTCACTTGTCTTGAGAGAGAACCATC